GGAAAAGAAAGTATCGGCCCCTGGCTGCAAGAAACAGAAACATAATTATGTTATGATGAGCTGGAAAGCATGCAAAGAAAAATTGGAATGCAAAGCATGATAAATGATGCTTTGTCAACTGCAAAGCAGCAAGAAGTCCAGGCGGCACCATAATAACTCTTCTCTAGGCAGTGCTTCCAGTTTGGCTACCAAAGTGAAGCAAGCAAAGCACCACCCTGCCCGCCACAGAACAGCTCTGTGTCCCTGCTCTAATATTTAGTCCTGACACAATTACGGTGAGTTTGTAAAGCAGGTAATGCAGTTATCCTCGGAGATAAAGGAGCAGCCAGGTGCTTCTCAAAATTGAGACCACAATTCCACAGAGAGAAAATGGATTATCTTATTCCTAATTTTTAAAGATTTTTAAGTTCCAAGTTTTGAATCTTTTCCTTTAAGATATCTTCTTTTTACATTTTCTCCTATGCAAATGCTGTCCCTACACAGGTGGCTAAATTTTATCCACTATGGCTATATGCAGCCATATCAGAGTGAACAGAAAATGCCACCCCAGAACAGAGCTATTAATCTGGCTCTCTTCATCACAAGGACAGGGAAGAGTTTCCCCTGCAAGGGCTGCAGCAGCTTGTCTACGGTGGAAAACCCTTAAGTTCATTCTCAGGATGTAAGTGAATCCAGTGGGAAAACGGACTAATTATAAACCATCACAGGAAACTGCTGTTTAGAAACCAGCACTGGCCGCAGAGATAAAAGGGAAATACATATAAAGAAAGTCTTCTCACGATAAAGGGGAATTTGATAAAAAGAATTTTTAAAAAATCATGAGGAAGGGGAATTTGGCAGGGTTATCTTGTCCACATATGCCAGAGGCGCAGAGAAACTATTACTGTGCCCTCTAGTGCCTGAGAATTGCAATATGTGCCAGAATTTTCAAAAATCAGAGATTTTGCACATGAAAAAAATGGACCAACGAGTTATTTTCTGTAGCTGCTAGTGTGGCTCATCCCCCTCCGCGGGACACGGCCAAGGTTACAGAACTCCCGAGCTGAAAACACCCCGTATCTATTCTGAAACACAGTGTGGTCAGCAGGACTGTAGCAGCCTCTCCGGGTAGGCAAAACTTCGGAACAGAGTTTCAGGCTTTGAATTTCCCACCTTTGGAGGATGTCTTTTATATTTTCTGTGCTAAGAATGCCTTAGAAGCTGGTATCAATAGTGTAGATTTTTTATGAATAAAAAAGCCCAAACAAACACCCAAACAAAAATATGTATTTCTTTAGTAATTAAAAACAACCAGCTCTCAAATTAGCAATTATGTAGGATGGGCTATCTTTTATACTTCAATTTACGGGATGACAACCTATATTCTTAACTGCATACTTTTAAGTGTGTATTTTTGGTCCTGTTAAATAGGGAGCACAAACTAGATACCATTCACTTCACTCATATGGCATCTGTTGTAGTCACAGCTCTGTAAGTGATTTCTAATGACAGCAGGATTTGCAGAATTTTTATTGCTTACACAAAAAAAAGAGTATTTTTATCACTAATTATTTTCATTTACATAATGAAAATACTGTGTTGCTTGACTGTAGTGTAGTATCTAGAGGTATTAAGGCACTTGCATGTTAATCTAATAATTCTATTCCCACTGTGATTAGGGAGAGCATAAATAGAAAAAATAATTACTAGCAGGCAGCAAATCAGTGGAAACCTGCAAACAATTTGTGTGATCCTGAGAGCCCAGCTCTAACCCCTCGGCCCTTCTCCATTTCCTTGGTGCCGGTTTGTGGCGAGCTCTGCGAGACGGCAGAGCTGCAGCCAGTGCCAAGCGAGGTAAAGTCGCTGCTGAGCTTCCGAGGTGGCTTCATCAATCGAGCCGCGTCCTTCATCGTTTTCTGCCTCACACCGCTTTGCCTGACACCATGCTTATTTTTTGTCTAAAAGGCATTAAAATAGCTATTTTATGGAGAAGCCAAAGGAGCTAATCCCGGCCCCACTCCTATCTCCTCCCTATGCACCACCAGGGAAGAGAAAGCAGTTTGCACAAAAAAAGCTGAGTGGCTGCACTGTGGCTGGGGATAACTGCAAGAACAGCCAAAGAAAAGAAAAAAAAACCCAAAATAATGGCTCTAAATTGACTGCAGTGGTGACACTGGCTCCTTTGCTTCCCACTTGCTTTTATTTCTCTGTGCTTCATCTCTCGTTGCTCCCCATGTGCTCTCTTGCCTTACGGGAGCTCTTCTCCTGCCAGCTGCTCCCTGCCTACTGGAACTTCGTGTTTCTGTTGGAGCTGTGATTTTTATAACCACACGCTTCTTAGGTGGGTTCTTTTTGCTTCCTCTTTCTCTATATTTCTTTCTGGAACTCCTTATGGTCCTAGTTGGAAGAATCACAAATGGCTCAGCCCCCCAGTCCCCCTGCTTAGCTCAGAGCCCTCCTTTGCAATGCAGGGGCACGGTACCAGCCACCGGAGCAGAAGGATTGCAGAAAATTGCATGCCAAGGGATATGATCCATTAAAAATACATTGTGAACCAAAGTCTAAATGACAGAGCAAACGGAGTCGCGTTCCCTTAGCCTGCCGTCGGAACTGCCCTGCAGGCCGCCATGCTCTCTTCCCTCCATCCTTTCTCTTATCTCTAGCCTCTTCCCTCTCTCCCCTTGCTGTGATAACAACTTTTCATTATATGTGCTTTCTTTGTCATCTGAAAAATTGATTGTTTTCCTAAAATTTGCTTTATCTGAGGGCTAAATCCTTTTTTCTCTTCTCCTATGGGTACCTTAGGAGTCAGTGGAGACGCTTAAACTAAGCAGGGTTTAGTGTTTAATAAACAAATACCTTTCCCGGCAAGGCTTAAGCAATTACTGAGTTAGTGTAAAGATTCACCAAGTGTATTTCTGTTCTTTATTAGGAAGTTGATTTAGCTTAAACTGTATTTCCAAAATGTATTTCACTCCACAGAGAAAAGAGAAGACGTTACCATCTCATAAATACTGCATGCTCAAACATCCTTTGATTTCTCACTGAGAGACCAGGATGCAGTAATTGCTCTGCTCAGGCTTTCTGCTGTTTCGGTATCACCTACGTGAATCCTTCGTCCAAATCCACACACTTTTCTCAAGTGGCTTTTCATTCACGGCTGAAGCTCCATAAAAACATCAGGCAGCGAGGCGCTTGATTTGCACTCCTTTCTGCAGGAAATAATAATTACAAGTTATGTGTGTTGGGGAGTGGGAATGTCCAAAATTCCGGGGGTTCTGGCGAGCAGGGAAGGAGGGATGAGAGCCTGCGGAGCTGCCAGGTTGGAGCCCCGCGCTGCTGACTCGGGCGTTGGTGACCCCGAGGCTGTCAGGGTGTCACAGGGATCATGTGTCCGAGTCGAGCGCTCCCTCCACACAGCGCCGTGCCCTCCTGTCCCCACAAAGGTCACTTCTTTGGGAAGCTATTTTTATCCTGGAGTTTGGAAGGAGAATTTTCCTTGTCTTTCCTGCCCTCGCTGTGGCCCTGGGA